CCGTTTGAACGGCAGCGACATGGGAGATGACAAATTTGACGGCATTAATAATGGCATGAAACATTTAGGATGCGCTTCAGCACCTCGAAGCCGATGCTCCTAGAGAGGGACGCCGCGGCGGCCCCGGCGGGCGGGGGCGGGCGGGCTCTCACCCATTAGCCACAGAGGCGCGCGTGTGAGTAGATATGGCGTTACATGTGTTGCCGGCCGGGGCTTGTTAAACCCCCGAAACGAGAAGGAACTTACACACTATTTTGACGAGTTTGGGATTGACTGGGTGCAAATCTCGACCAGCATGTGCTTGCGATGGTAAATGCATACAATATATATCTTGACGAAGTTACGGCATTTTAAACTCGTTCTCCGAGGTAAGGGAAAGAAAAACCAGGCTAAATGGAAATTTGGAGAATTTTTAAGTAGTAGATCACTAAAAGGGTAACCAAGCGAGTTATGACCCGCTGAGACAAATTTCGTGTCTAGCTTGTTTCTTTAGCTTGCGAAAAACACTATTGAAGCTCTAGGGAATTTTTTCTCAAGAAATTTAAAAAAAACAACAATTTTTATGCCACAGGAAAAACAATTTTAAATAAGACAAGACCGTTTACGACAAGGGAACTGTTTTTTTAACATTCATTAGATCAAAAAATAGTGCTAGTGTTAAAGTAATAAACTAAGCAGTGTTCCTAATACTTGTTACTCGCATGGAGAACTTTTCGAGTGCTCCATCCAGACTTGTTCCATTCTTGGAAGTAATAGCCCGCTTTCCATTAAAAATTGCCCGTCTTTGGGGTTAATTCTTTGTCAGTCGATAGCGGCGCTGATGAGGATGCCGATGAATATCCAAGGCGCTCGCGGCGGGGCGTCGCGTGGCTCCGGCCGTCCTGCGGCTCCTGCGTCGTTATCCGTAATTGAGCGCCGTTTATCGAGCCGAGCGGAGCAAAGCCGCCCAACAGCGCCTCAATATTTGAGCTGTCCTCAAAGGGGTTGCTGTCGACACAGACCAACCCTTCAAGGAGGGCGCAAACTTCCTCTTTGGCTGTACAGCACGGGAAAAATTATATCTTGTAATTCAAGAAGATTAATTAAAGGAAAATGCCTTGGATTCCACGCACTCTTCTTGAATTAAAAGACATTATTTTTACCGTGACATGATTGCACCACAGAGTGCAACCATTTCTACGGCCTATTGGCAGACAGTGCATCCAAAAGGGCAGGCTGTTGCGGGCTTCTTTTTTTGCGCCTATGCTTTAACATGGGCGGAAGAGGGAGTAGCCCGCACCAGCCTGCAGTTTTGGAGGCACTCCTGGCAGATTAAGTCCGATTGAAAAAGATAACCCATGATTTCGGTGGATTTTGAAGGATTTCACGTGACATTTCGGTGGATTCCTAGCTAAAATGATTTCATATAATTGCAGATGGATTTCAAATTAGATCGAAAGGACTTCGTAGACGGTGTACCCATGATTCCAGGAGTTGTGACCCGTAGCAACAGCGTTTGGAATACGGTTATGACTGAGAAAAATCACTAGATACGAACGGAAAGGATAGCTGTTAAAATAACTCGATGGCGCTCACATGTCATGCTTCGACCCTTTGTTCGTTTTATAGGGTGAGTCTATCGGACGGTGTGCTCTGTCCCAGGCCACTGATCACCTACATTATCGGTCAACTGCCTACCCCCCACCTGAATCCCCTCGAAAGTTTTGGAGGCCCCGTCCGAGGCCTTGCCCCCGATCTCCGCGTGCCACCGTGCGTTTCCGTGTAGGGGGAGTCGTCGCCTGAATAAGACTTTTTTTTCTACCTTGACCACGAGAAGTTTTCGCTCATTTCCCTTGCATTCGCGGGCGGGGCGGGCGGCACCCCGGCCTATGAATAATCGCTCTTTGCCACGGAAAAGTTTCAGAATCATCTTTCTTCCGCCGTTTGGGGCTCAGAAAATTACTAAATATTGCACGTGGTCCGTGTCGTTGTGTCCTGTTTCGCTATGCGAGGGGCGGAACTGTCTCCGCGCCCACCATTTCCTGTTCAACTTGCCGAGTATCGCCACCCCCACCCCCACACACACACACGGCGGGGCGGCCGGCACCTCGCCGTCAGACAGCGCCGGGCCGCGGCCGCACCTCCTCCACCTCACGCGATGCCGCGGTCCGATCACAGTAATTAACGCCTCAACAAAACAAAACTCCCCTCCCCGTTCCGCGCTCCCCTACGTGGTGCGCCCCGACCTGATCGGTAGCGCACCGTGAGCGTCGCTTGCGCTCACAATAAATGAACGTGACGTGTTGTCACACCAAAAATAATTTTATTTTCTTGTAGATGCGGGTCCCGTGTATGAAAAGTTGACGTTTCGCTTACACCAGGTGGCTGATTAACCCCGTGCACTACTGTGTTCACACTGTAGCGCTTGACTATCGCCCTGACGATGCTTATGTGCCGAGCGGGTATAGTTGGTTCACTAAATGTAGACTAGACACCTCGGCAGGCCAGTCCCCATTGTGAGTACAATAATTGGGCACAATGGGGACTGGTTGGTCTGCCGTGCCGTGGTGTCTACATTTAGTGAACCAACTATATGAGGCAACCCACCCGCTCGCATGAATGCGGTACAGCATAACTCTATCGTTGCACGGGGTCCAGCCGCTTGGTTTTCCTGCCTAGTAGGGGAATATTCAGAATTATAATTAAACGAATACCTTTGTAAAGACTTTCTGGTTCATTCTCAATCTCGACTTTCGCTCCCCCTCATTGCTGTTATCAAGAAAATGTAACAATTTTATTTTGCGGTTGAAGGTTGAAAATTTCTGATATCCGTTACCTTTTTAATTACATGGCATATCCCAATGGCCGGATGCACAAGTTTTAGTCTAGTCATACTTATTGTGGCGTGCGCGGGATCCTGCACCATCGCGTCGTTCCGTGGCGCCTCATAGAGCCGATCGAGAGGGCATAAGGCAACCGCCACCTTCACACACGCTTGGTAGTAGAACTAGGATGTATACATTTTAATACGGCGTATCCTATGAGACCACTTTAGTATTTAGATAGGTGTAATAACGTTACAGAAAAGGCTTCAATTATCAATGCCCATCCAAACTTAACTTCGATATTTTGGGGCTCATTAATCCAGAAATACTACCTTTATAAAACCTATGCAGGTGGTCACGTCACAGGCACTAAAATTAACAACTTGCAAGCACATCGGTATGTTGTGGATAGAATAGGTGGGATGAAGATTGGTATCATAACAATAGTGAATTATTCCTACGGTCCGATGGTCCGAGTAGGGTTGATGCGTCGGTGCTCAGCTCACCTCCTCAGAGCTGCCCGGGAGGCAGCAGCGGCGCGCGAAGCACCCCGTCGGGGTCACGGCGAGGACGCGGGGCAGGCGGCGGCGGAGTCCGCTCGCCGCGGGGTC